AAGATTCTCCGATTATATAATGGAAGATATAGTATGAGAAAGCGGAGAGCGATAGCTTAGCTATAAAAATTCTGTGAAAGACTGATTGAAATTCCTGAGACAAGAAACTGTTTACTCCTCGTGACTGACTAAAAGACATCATCAGCTCATGCATACATACATAGTTCAAGCTTGATGGCACTGCGAAAAATGTACCAGCAAATTCAAACATGGGGGACAGTTGACAGTACCAAACCAAATCTATAAAGCTGTTAACACTGGACAGTCCCATTGCGAGAATAAAATCCTCGAGCACAATCTGCAAACTATGAAACTGAACAGATTCCATTGATCAGTATATATTGTTTAAAGAAAAATAGTGCGAGACATTTGGATAAAGTAAGAAAGCTATTCGAAGAAATGTGAAAATAGCACGTCAATCGAGAAAATAAATTGAAAGAAAAATCGTCAATTAGAGCATCTGTCGCACAGCCATTGGGCGAACTCTTTGATTATATGTATGCGTTCGCAGCGGGCCAAAATGCGATTCGGTATAGGCGAATCGTCCGAATTCATCTCAACTTCGGACAAACCAGCGTATCCACCAGCCAATGCACAGGCCATTGTACCAATCGTATCCGTGTCACCGCCCAGACTAATTGCAAACACCAAACAACGTAAAGGAATCGACTAAAGGAAGGGATTGAAGCAAGAGGAAGAGTCAAGATGAATGGATAACCAATATCAATTTGATAACAAGAACAACAACTAATACTGTGACCACCACTAACAGTGCCGCGACAAAAATGACCCAGTACTTTTCGAGGTGTTATTCATGGCATTATACAAACGGAATTCACCGACGAACCATAAAAAGAGAATAAATAAACGCACACATGTGCAGTGATACAACAATTGTGAGAAATTCATTTCAATTTTTATCCCTCTGTCTCTTGCTCGATTCTCACACAAAACGACCGTGGAGTCACGCACATCCAAAATCAGTGATCATTCTAGACGGGTTATCCCACTTTCACAACTTTCACTCCCACACAAGCTTCAAATAAGACTGACCCTCCGGTACTGCAATGAAGTTTCGCGTACAACCTCACCCATTCCCCTGTCTCCTCCTCTTGATCAAGTTGGACGCAAAGCTAGCCCTCTCACTGGTGGGACAACGCTGACTTCTACACAATCACTAGTCCACTGTCGAGCTGTTGATGCACTCCCTTCAGCTTCTATCATACGAATGAGGTTTTCGTGCCCATTTACTCGTATACGCTTACTGACCTAACCCAAACACCGTTGGAAAGCAACCCTTAGCAAGCGATCGGTCCCGTCTCACGCACCGTTCTTTCACACCACTCCTAGTTTCAAACGTTTTACTTAGCCCACCATAGACCTCAACGCTACCACAAGTATGCAGATACAGCGACCGCAATAAGTTTACCTACTTCCGCGGTATTCCTTTGCGGAGCAGCGACCCCAGAAGAGCTTCACGATCAACTGAATCGAAGGCTTCTTTTAGGTCAAGGAACACTGCGATTGTTGGTCGACGGTGTGTATGCCGCATATCAAGGACTTGACGCAAAGTGAAGATTTGTTCGATAATACCGCGACCTAGTTGAAATCCGGCTTGCCGTTCGTGAAAACTCGCCGCCCTTAAGAGTGTCAAGCGGCGAAGTATCACAGAAATCAACACTTTTGTGATAATTGGAACGAAACTAATCCCGCGGTAGTTGGCGTCTCAGTCGGTAAAATGGTGGAGGAGTAATTGATCCAACTAAATGGGCCTCTACTTCGCCTTACTCGTTGCCTTGCGGTCAGGTTCTCGTCAGAACTAAAGGCTTTGGACGAGAACCCTAATCGTTCTCCTGCTTAGTGGCTGAACACCCTGGCAGTACCCGTCCAGCAAACTCAAATGCATACACAACCAAAAAATAATCTCATACTGCATCGGTCGTCGCGCAGGATAATCAGGACCGCGCTGCCCATTGCATCGAGCGGGGTGGATAGTGATAAGTGGACTACTGCTCAGATATCCAAACCTTTGATTAACTCTTATTCTTTCGTACCCAACCCTCTCCCTTTACCCTTTCTTCCAACCCGTAACATTCTCTCAGACAATTTGTTCGTCACTTACCAAAGTTCGTTGCCAAGCAGCTCGGTAAGTAGTTTACCACAAAACAGATTGCAGATGCTGAAGCCTCGTCAGTCATTGAATCTGGGGGCCTTCAACGTGAAGACTGATGCAGGTAGTTCAACAACCGTATCTGGCGTGTACAATGGACTCTTTGGGAATGGATGTCTGTTGCGTGTCGGAGACTCGAATTCAGGATCCTTATACCATATGCCTCTTAAGTGCACCGGGGTTGTCTTCGAGGTTCTTCCTCCGCACGTCAGGTGATGACGAAGCCCATTCAGTAGGCCAGCGTGGTGTGGGCATTGTTAGTTCAGTCCAGTTTTTACAACCATTAACCATGCTTTTTCGTGCGCCGGTTTTGGTTGCTCTCTTTGGTTGCCCATTTGGACAAAAGAGCGAAATGAAAATTGGAATGTCGAAACAAATTCAAGCGGAAGATGGGGAAAACATATAGAGTGGTGTTAGGAAAACAACGAGTGGATGCACGAGCGCCAGGTTGCGACACCCAGCCATATCATTCAGTGTAGCTAACCATCGGTGACCATCATCCCGAAGTCCCCAACCGGGGAGCCTAACGGGGCCTATGTGACCTAGTCTCCTGGTTAGGGTTTTCA